GTGGATTGTAATTCATCCCAGACCAGATCAGACTTGGATAGTTATAAAGATACAAAGAGACCAGACCATACCAAAAACATCCTTGAATGTATTTTTTTCACTTTTGTTAGACAACTTTTCTTAATGTATTTTTACTTATAACTCCATTTGTTTATCAAACTGACATTTAAATTTATTAATACATGAAAAATTGTATACAAACTCCGCCATGAGATCATTTTTGGTATCATGCATGTCCCAAGCCAGGATAAAAGAGGAGGGTGTTGTGGTAGGCATGTGACAACCAACAGTATCACTTAGTCACATCACATGACATGAATCAAAATATGAATATCGCTACAGCTAGGTCCTGCCCGTAAGCGTCGCGTCATCCCTCCGCCTGGGGGTGGTGTCAAATATGCAAGGGCGCGCTACATTTCATAGGCCTGGCTGTGGTGATAAGAATGTTAAGAAAAGGTAGGGTGTTAGGTTTCCAATGCCCGGGGATGGTGTCAAATATGCAAGGGCATAGTGGGAGTTGATGTGATGTGAAGAAGAAAAGGTAGGGTGCTAGATTGAGTTTTGGAACATGGAATGTTGGCTCTCTTACGGGAAGATCATGTGAGATAGCTTAGGTTATGAAAAGGAGGAATGTCAGCATAATGTGCATGCAAGAAACTAAGTGGGTTGGAGAAAAGGCAAGTGAGATTAATCCTGGAGGTTTTAAGTTATGGTATTCGGGGAGAGAAAGGAACAGAAATGAAGTAGGCATTATGGTGGCACATGATTATGTTGAGGGTGTGGTGGAAGTCTTCAGGAAGAACGACCGCATCATGAGCATTAAGTTGATTATAGGATATGAGATCGTGTCAGTGGTAAGTGCCTATCAAGTGGGATTTGATGCATCTATCACTCAACAATTTTGGGAGGATCTTGATGAGGTGGTGCGACGAGTGCCAAGGGGAGAGAAGTTGGTCATAGGAGGTTACCTCAACGGGCATGTGGGCCCAAGTCGTGATGGTTTAATTTTGAGAGTATCCATGATGGTTGAGAGTATCCATGACGGACATGGTTTTGGCACTAGAAATGAAGCGGGGAAGAACATTCTGGATTTTGCCTCAACATATGAGTTGGTTGTGATGAACACTTGGTTCAAGAAAAGAGACTCTCACCTTGTGACCTATAGAAGTGGAGCTAATAGTACCCAAATTGACTACTTTTTAGTACGAACGACTTGGAGAACTAGCTACACTGATTGTAAGGTTATCCCAAGTGAGTGCTGTCACTCAACATAGGATGCTTGTGCTTGATTTTCAAGGTAAAAAGAGAAGAAGGGTTAAGGTACAAGAGGAGCCAAAGATAAAGTGGTGGAGGCTCGAGGGGAATCTCCAACAAAGTTTTGCACATAAAATGTTGGAGGAAGATGTATGGTCCATTGATAATGACGCACATGTGGATGATGTGTGGTTATCTATGGAGTTCACCTTTAACAAAGTGGCGAAAGAGATACTTGGAGAATCTAAAGGATGTCTACCACCAAAAAAGGACACATCTTGGTGGAATGATGAGGTAAAACAAGCAATGGGGATCAAAAGGGAATGCTATAAGATATTGGGCAACAGTTGGAGCAACGAGAACATAGAAGAGTACAAGGAGGCTAGAAGAAGAGCAAAGAAAACAGTAAAGGAAGAAAGAGGAAAAATGAACAAAGAATTGTATGCGAAATTGGACTCTAGGGAAGGATAAAAAGATATTTACAGACTTGTTCGTCTTCGTGACCGTAGGACTCAAAATATCAGAAAAGTGGAGTGTGTGTGAAGGATGTCGATCAAAGGGTACTAATGGAGGACAAGAAAATAAAAGAGAGGTGGAGGTCATGCTTTGATAAACTTTTCAACAGGAACAAAGCGCAAGATATCAGTGATTTGACCATACCGGATTGTATGGTAAATCATGAATTTGTGAGAAGGATCCAAACAACGAATGTTAAAGTGGCTCTGAGCAAGATGGGGAGGAAGAAAGCAGTGGGTCCAGATGACATACCGATCGAGGCTTGGAGAAGTTTGGGAGAAAGAGGCGTCGAGTGGTTAACAAGTTTCTTCAACATGATTTGGAGAAACAACAATATGCCAACGAGTTGGAGGAAGAGTACTATTATCCCCTTATTTAAGAATAAAGGTGATGTACAAGAATGTGTCAACTATCGAGGGATTGAGCTTATGAGTCACACCATGAAACTTTGGGAGCGAGTGATTGAGCAAAGACTTCGAAGAACTGTGAAGATTTCAGAGAATCAATTCGGTTTTATGTCTGGTCACTCAACAACTGAGGCCATTCATCTTCTTCGGCAACTTATGGAGAAGTATAGAGACACTCACAAGGATCTGTATTTGGTGTTCATTGACTTAGAAAAGGCTTATGATATGGTACCTCGAGAAGTTCTTTGGTGGGCCTTAACCAGAAAAGGCATAGAACGGTAAGAAATGTATGAGGATTGTACTACAAGTGTTCGTACTAGTGTAAGGAGGACTGCAGAGTTCTCTATTACTATTGGAGTGCACCAAGGATCGGATCTGAGCCCTTTCTTAATTATTTGTCATAGTCATGGATGAACTTACGAAGTCAATTCAAGAAGAAATACCGTGGTGCATGATGTTTGCCGACGATATTGTATTGATTGATGAGAAGCAATCAGGTCTTAAAACAAAGTTGAAAGTATGGCGAGAAACATTGGAGAACAAGGGTTTCAGACTAAGACGGAGCAAGACAGAGTACGCGGAGTGCAAGTTTGGTGGAGGTAGAAGCAGTGGTAATAGCAGAATTACTCTAGATGGTAATGAGATACCAGTTAGCGATATGCTCTGTTATTTGGGCTTCATAATTCAGAAGGACGGTGAGTTAGATGGAGATGTATCCCATAGAATCAGAACAGGGTGGATGAAGTGGAAGAGTGCGTCAGGATTTCTCTGCGATAGAGGTATCCTGACAAGACTGAAGGGTAAGTTTTATAGGACAGCAATTAGGCCTGCATTACTGTATGACGTAGAGTGTTGGGCGGTGAAACAATGTCACATTCAAAAGATGAGTGTGGCGGATATGTGCATGCTGTGTTGGATATGTGGGCTTATTAGGAAGGACCGCGTGAGGATTGAGACAATCAGACAAAGGGTGGGAGTAACACCTATTGAAGACAAAAAGCGGGAGTCGCGCCTACGGTGGTTTGGTCATGTGCGTAGAAGACCGAGTGATGCACCTGTCAGACGAGTTGAGATGTGTGGAGAAGAGGCAGGGAAGAGAGGGAGAGGAAGGCCCAAACATACGTGGGTTAGGGGAGTCCGAAGTGATATGCTTCTTCTTGGGTTAGATGAGGGTATTTGTGTGGAGGAGTGATCTCGTATTATCTTTCCCCCTCAATTTTTTTTCTTGTTTTTTTTTTATCCTTTTATCCTTATATATATAAACATTATTTTTATCCTTTTTTATTTTTTCATTTTTAGGTATATTCATCTCTTTTTATATTATCTTTTTCATAATAGCTTATCTTTTTTATCTTTATTTTCTTTCTTTTCCTTTTGGTGGTGTTCTCATGTATCGATTCATGTTAGCCGACCCCAATATCTTTTGGGACTAAGACTTGAATGTTGTTGTTGTTATTTGAAAAACTGTTTACGAGAATTATTAACTGTCTTATTAAGTTTTTATTCTATAACTCAAAAAAATGGTTTAAGTAGTGATACTAATAAAATCAATAAAGTGTATGATATGTACATATATTAAAGTATGTTACCTCCATATATTAAAGTGCCCAATAAAAATAATTAATTTATGTCTTTAAAGGTCATTTGAGAAGTTATCGGCTAATTGTAAACAACCATTTTAACTAAACACCATTTTATGCCTAACGTTTGATAACTATGTTCACGGCCTTTCCATTAGATTAGGGTTCGAGAGATTGCCGTCACCGTGCGGCATTTTCTTTATCGATGCATCCAAGCGGCGACCTGGCCTGCTTTGACGTTGGTGATAGCGTGAAGGATGGAGGGCGAGGCTATGGAGATGTACAAGGAAGAACACGAGCACGAAGGGGAACCGGTGGAGAGCTTAGTCAACATGTACGTGGGACGAGGAGAGTTGCACGAACTTCGAATAGGCCAGATTTCGATCGACAATGGAGGACCAATTAGAGTGGTACTAATGGTACGGCATCCTCTTGAACCACCGCCATGGGTTGTTCGAGGTGCTAGAAGTCCGTGAAAGTTTTCCTATTAGTCATTATTATTTTGTCATTTGGTTTCTTGTTACCGTCTATGTTGTTAGGTCTGTCAGTTTGTTTGGGAATTCAGTCTTTTCTTATGCCATTGAGTATGTTTGTATCTATGGGAACATGGATGACTGTGTCAAGCCCGCTACATGGTTAGCGATTCGTGTTGCTCTTTCAGGAGTGACCGTCTCTAAGTTTGATCATAGGGTTTACAGTCGTAGTTGTTGGAGTTTGTTGGTGTCAGATTTGTTTTTCCTTTGATTGATGTAATCACCCTCAAACTTTTGTGAAAGAAGGCTGGTTGACGAGAATAAAAAAAATAAATGTGTTATCATAAATCATTTTAATGAAAACAGCCAACATTATCATAAATCAACGAACACAATCAGCCAAAAACCAACAGTCGATTGACAAACACTCTCATAAGTGTGAAGCATAAACTATTTGCATTAAAGAATAATAAATGCAATTTTCGTATAAACACGTGGGTGAAATAGAAATTGTGTAAATTATCACCACGTTTGATTTTGATCCTCAAATTAATTGATATTATTCATACGAGTAAATGGCACAACAAATAATTCTAAGTTGTATTTATAAAACACCTAAACAATTGTAATAATAAAATTATATTATGCATATCAACTGACTAAATGACAGCACATTTTAAACTAGAATTTTAAACAAGAATTGTAAAAACTGACGTGTACAAAGGGAATTTTCCTATTTGAAAATTGAAAACAAGAAATTGAAAATCAAAACAATACCACAGTCCACAGCAAATGTTTGAAGAACAAGTATGCATTTCGCGTTGGAGATAAACATGATCGAACTAAACTCATCCATGTACAAAAATATCACAAGTGACAGTCTACAAAGAGGCTAAAGCATAATTTCTGACACCCAAAAAAACTTAACCCACTATAAAAAAAATAAACAAACAAGAAATTAGTAACAAATTTATGTACACGCTATACATCCCAGCCATCCTTCCGACTGCCAAATTCGGATGTTTGGTTCATTATGCTCACGTAAATCTCAGAGAACTTCCGAAGTCATTTGCTCCGAACATGACAGTGAGCTTGTGTGTTACCACTAATTGCAACACCTGTAAACTTTGACATGTCAACAGCCCACACTGGTTTCACATACTCAACTGTGCTCGAAGAAGAAGAGCTCATGTTCCGTGCAATTTTTTTCAAAAATATTCTTTGTACCGGCTCTGTCTGTCCTAGTGCCCTGGTTCTACCCCGTGCATACAAGTAGTTCAAAAGCACATCCTCGCAAGAAAAGCACATTTGGGTCTGTCTTGTAAATGGGGTTCTTTGTGTGGGGCCTCCAAGGGCCAAGAGGGGAGAACTATACCACATCTCTAGTTGTCCGTTACTTTGGGCCCCAATGCCACTATGATCTGGACCAAACAGCCAGTGTTTCCCGTCATGTGAGATTATAGAAGGATCTATAATGGGCTTTTTCATTAGTACCTTCTCCCGCACTCGCTTTGTGGGATAATCTACAGCTCGGTACAGATTAAGTTCTCCCTTATCACCACCCTTGGGCAACATATATATCTGCCAAGAGAATAAGTGAAAGAGGTTAGCAGTACTGCAGTAGGAATGTGTGGCATTATTTGAAGACAGACATGGTAAAAAAAATTAAATGCAGTGGAGCATACATTAAGGGTATGTTTGGATGACAGAGGTGCTAAGGACAGGCGCAAAAGGAATGATAACAGATGTGTTATTATGCTTGGTTTCATATTGGAAACATGAAGAAAAATGAATTATTATTAAAAAAAATCATATATTTAGATTTCTGGGGGTTTTCATATACAAGGTACTATAACTAAAATTGAACTGGAACTACATGGTCATTACCAAGTATTGAAGACAGGAAGAGTAAATCCTTTTCATAATGCAGTAGAGTATCCACTATGGCACTATCTAATACGGAGTATGTCATATAGTACTATGCTTCCCTTCACCCACCCCCACAATTAAAAAAAATAAAAGAACTAATCATTCTTAATTGTTGCATGGGAAAAAATCCTGATGCCAAGCCTATGAGTCTCAAGTTAATGAAGGAACAAGTCTATGAAATTGAGATCTTACATTCCCATTGTATTCAAAGACATATGGATATGAGAGATGCCAATCCTCATCCAATGCAATGCCCAACTGCTCCCATGTCACTCCTTTATCAACACTTTTAGCAACTCCAATATCCCCTTGCATTGTGATGGGGTTCTTCGTTTCAAGAAACAGGTAAAGAGCATCATCCTGAAATCAAATGGTAAAAAGAATTTAAATTTCAAAGAAGATGTAATACAAAATAACTTGTGTTTCACGTCAAATGTTTTCTATACATATGGGTTATGGCTAATAATTGAATAAGGGATAAACCTTATCACTTGAGGATCCTTTTAAGTAAGGCCAAACATAACTTGGTATCAAAATCTGATCTAATTGAAGTCTGTTTGGTTTTTTGACACACATTGCTCGGAATAGCCCGTGGGGGGTCAATTTAGTCCATTTATGCACCTCTCAAGTTGAGCCCATTTCAACTTTATTTTACTGCAACATTAGTACAACTTTAGGTTGTTAGGTTCATTTACACCCCTATAAAGTGTAAAGTAGGTTCAAGCACCCAAACACTTTTTCCCATATAAAGTCATAGTTCATCCAATTGTCTTCCATGACTCCGTTATACTCTTTTTCAAACCTCAACTTCCTAGAAAATATTGCAGATCGGCTTCTCATAATTTCACAGAACTTTCTAACAACTTGCAGTCTTGCTCTAAGCAACTAGAAGTACAAAATCCATATTTATCAAACCCTTATAAATAAAAGGGAAAATAACTTTAAATAATACCAACTATCTTCCATGAACCAAAAATAATACGTACTTTAGAAATAACTTTTAATAATATCAACTATCCGAATGTAGCACAAAAATAATATGTAGTCACTTTTCTACAAGAAATCCGATCATTTAAGTCATCAAAAACTAATATTAGTCCATCAAATAAATGATATTTGTAAATACGATCACTTATTTGATATTTTGATATTAGTTTTTTATGAGTTAAAAGACTAAATTTTTAGTGAAAATTTGGTTTATAACGCTTTCGATATATGTTCAAATAGTTGGTATTATTGAAAGTTATTTTGAAAGTACATATTTTTCTTGGTTCATGGAAGATAGTTGGTATTATTTAATGTTATTTTTCCTAAATAAAATTATCAAGCCAGAGCCAAACAGCCAGTTGCAATATCTTTCATCAACTTGGTATGATAAAGATTAATAACAGATACCCTGTTATCTACTAATTAAATAATGGAGTACCAAAAAGTAGATAATACATATATTTTCCATGGTGTGGTCATCGAGCAGCTGGATTTTAGTATTCTACTTGAGAAGCCCTAACTTGTCTTATCTAATGAGCACTAATAAAAACAAAATTAAAGCCAAATTTTAAGCATTCAGTCTAGAGCCCGTTTGACAAGGGTAACATGATTGGAATGGTGGAGTTTGCTCGATTTTCAGAAAATGGAAGCGTTTGGTAACATCCATTTCAGCGAAATAAATAAGTCAGTAGATAATACTTTTCTGCTAAAGTGGCTACCAGAGAGTGCCCTACTAAAGGATGTCATAGACCAATTTCCTGCAAATTTATATTGGTACGAAAAAAATAAGCTGCACTCTTGTCACTATGTATATTCATCTGCAATCCATTTCCAAATATAGATGTCAAAGAAGTAACTATAAAGCCTATAATTCATAAGGATTTATCCAATTCTATATTCTCAGAATGGGCACTATCCAAAACTTTGAAAATTACAGCCGGAACTTCCCTAAAAATGAAGCCTTTGTCCTTAAAACCCAGGCTTGTGTTAAGTATCTAGCTCAATTCAGGGAGAATTATACAGGAAAGTAGGAATGTAGATGAACAGTTAATAGAGAAAGTTATTCGATCAACAGAAAAAAGAGAGAAAGTGCCTTGACAGTTAAAGAGATGTCAACTCTCCAGTCCCTTCAAGAGAAATCCCTTGAGTATTTTCACATCAGTATGTTTTAATGGAGCTACAATCAACTCAAATTGTTTCCTATACTCCATCACACTGCCTGTCTGTGTTACACTCAATAAGGGACCATAGGGATCTTGTAATAACCCTGGTTGGAATCTACGAGTCAAAGCAGATTTAAATTATCATTGCGTCTAGAGGATGAAGAATGATGATTACTGTAATCATCATTACTGTTCTTCCTGCCGTTTTGGCTGTCATTAACGAAAATGCCTCTCCCGCCCCACCAGCCGCCAGGGGAGTGGGAGGAGGCGGAAATCACAATTGGGGTCGAAGCCCTCTCTAAAAAAAGAAATCAAGCAAAGCTGCTGGCTGAGGGCAATGTTTAACCCTAAAAAAATCACTCAAAGCAGGTGTGATCCATCATCCATAGACGCAGATAAACACCAGCACTATTGTATTCCTACGCGTATACGCAACACGTATTTATGAAATAATCCATCTCTATCATCCAATAGTAATATACTAAAATGCAGAATTTTTGGAAATTGAGAATACTGGCAGCGAAAAAGGAGAATGGGAGGAGTGATGGCGGCGGGCGAGTTCTGTCTGGTATGGGGATGGCGGATTGTTTCGGACATACAATGGTTATTGACTTCTTGTGCAATGATTACGCTAAGAGCATCTTTGATGGGAGCATGAATTGATTAAAATGCATTGCCACATAGACAAAGAAATTATTGGGATAATGTTAGAGATCTACCTATTAGACTAATAAATAGAAGAGTTAATTGTAGTTATATTTCGGTTATTAAATAATAAGAATTAGTCTGGGAAGGGGAGGCAGGCTGTTTTTGACTATTGTAGTCTGGACTGGGAAAGTTAGAGATTAATTGTCTCTTTCTTTTGGGGGCTTCGGCCAGAACTCTTCTTCATCTATAAAGTTTACAGTTCTTGTTCTTGATATTTCTTGATAATTTTCTGTAAATCCTCTCAATACCTAGATAGCTCTAACAGTGGTATCAGAGCGCGTCGGTCGCTGGATGAAATACACTCGTACTAAAATGGAAGGACGTATCACAGAGGTAGAAAGAAACTTGACGGATTTTGCAAGAAATCAGAAGGAGTTAGCAGCGAGGCAAGAAGATATGGCGAGGAAGATGGCCGCTATGCAAACTACCATCGCGGATATTCAGAGCCGACTTCCAGGTCCTTCGCGGAACAGGTCACATACATCTGACGCGTCGCATCGCAGATCACTCATCAGCTCGCAGAAGGGGTCGCGAACTATTTCTTTTGGTTCGCACGCGCAGACGGCTTCTTTTAGTTCGCAATCGCGAATATCTTTTCACCGTTCACAATCGCGAACAGAGTTTCTCCCTTCGCAGACTTACTCATCGGCTATCAGTTCGCGTCCAAGAACGACGCGAGTGAGAGAAGAATCTCTATCTGCGTCGCCAATCGAGTCTCAGGGTTCACCATCCTTGTCGCAAACAGCTTCTCTCAGTCTGTCGCAGGAAGCTACGCGAACATTTTCTTCCAGTTTGCAAGTTTCATCTGGAAAAGTTGTTTCCAGTTCTCAGACTTCTTCGCGAGCCTATTCCTCATCCCCCAGGGAAGAGAAGTTCACTGAAGATAAAAGCGAGAAGAATGCGTCAGTAACCCATGGACCTGAAGCTGGTAAAATTGCTCGATTTCTCAAGTACGAACCCGTCAAGAATTTTAAGAATCTCATTCCGGGTCTCTTCACTGACGGGGTAACAGAAATTGAAAAGGTTTGGGGACTGTCAACAGTGGGTATTATTGTGCTAGATGGAGGTGTAGGTCATGACATGCAATCTCAGATGGAAATTGCTGGTACAGAGATCAAGATTTTCTGGAAAAGAGATGAGCACTGGAAAAGGGGAAACATGGTTCACCAACTTACTAATAGAAGAATGAGGGAGAAGTATGTTATGAATGCTGACAGTCAGGACCAAGAAATCAGGAGTGAAGGTGTTGAGTCATTCCGGGGGGGCTTCGCAAAACAGTTGTGGAAGGATGATACACATATTAGTGCAATTAAAGGCTCAGTCTGCACTCACCCCAATGTTAAACTTAGGATGGTAGTGAAGGACAGTTTGATACTTGATGAAAATTGGGACTATTCTAATTATGGATTGAAATGGGCTGATGAGTTTAATTTTGAATACCCGTGGGATAAAATCAGGGTGGTCCTGGACCCTAATATTCAGTATACTGTTAATGGATTGGTAGCTAAAGCAATTTTTCAACCTTACCAAATGGTCTTAGGCTCCAATAGTCCAGAAGTGAACTGTTTTACTAGTATTTTTTCAATGAAAATCAAACAAGGAGAAACTGTTGGAAATATAGAAGGGGAACCCTATTTGATGGGAAGAATGGTTATAGCTTCCTTCTCATCACTCGGGCTAATAAAGTTGGATGCAAACTCAGTCAGGGAAGCAAAGAGGCTGAGCAATATCCCTGAGGAAACAAGATTACACCTAAAAAAGGGAACCAACACTCAAGTTCTCCTTTCTCCCAGTGGTGCTGGTGCCCCTGTAGACATCCGGCAGTACATGTCATCAGGATCTGAAGTTTCTGAACTGGTTGTGGGGTTTGTAAGCTGCCAGACATCTTTGGGATATTATATCCTTTACAAACTTAAGGATCATTATGTCACCATATCCTTGCATCTGTGTATTACTGCCGTGAAGTACATATGGAAGAAGATGGAAGAAACGAAGCTAAAGATCCAGCAAGCATTCAAGTATTGGGAAGGGAGAGGCATAAGGATGAAGAGGAAACAACGGATCTTGGCTGTTTCCTATCACCCACCTTAAGGGCAAGGTGGATGTTTAGGAGGGGAGTATTGTTAGAGATCTACCTATTAGACTAATAAATAGAAGAGTTAATTGTAGTTATATTTCGGTTATTAAATAATAACTAGAGTAGGCTGTATGGGAAGTCTATAAATAGAATTAGTCTGGGAAGGGGAGGCAGGCTGTTTTTGACTATTGTAGTCTGGACTGGGAGAGTTAGAGATTAATTGTCTCTTTCTTTTGGGGGCTTCGGCCAGAACTCTTCTTCATCTATAAAGTTTACAGTTCTTGTTCTTGATATTTCTTGATAATTTTCTGTAAATCCTCTCAATACCTAGATAGCTCTAACAGATAAAAAAAGCTCTCCAATGGAACCTTCCATTTTAAACCTGTTGCTGAGTTGGAAATAAAAATGATGCACACCGTCTCATACGCTGTCTACTTTCAGAAAGCCTAATTAACATCGTGACTCAGCAAACGTAATTTTTCTACAGAAGCCTTTCAGGATAATCGACAATATTTTTGTACAATCATATAATCACACAGCTCAAAAAGGTCAAGAACGAACTACTTTTTCGCACTTCAAAAGTAAAGGAGGCCATACCATCTCCGGTTGTACAAAACATGAAGCTTTCAAGGCATTTTTTAAGTTTTAAAGAACCACTTGAGAGTCTGCGGCATGCATATATGCCTATTGCTCCTATAAATAATCAAAAGGAATCATCCAATTAACTCCAACTTACATAAAAAAGTGATTCGAGAGGTTGGGGAGATGAGGTCGTAACCTGCGATTGCTTTGTGGCAAAAAAAATTACGGATCTATTTACAGATTTTCTCTTGGAAGAAGAAAGGTAGAAGAGGAAATATTAATTACGGAGTAACTACTTGCCGGTGGTTTTTAGACGGAAACGAATGATTGCATACTTCCATTGGAGAGAAAATGTTATTTCAACTGTCCATGTGTCCACATAAGCTCCATGGACCTTCTGAACGGGTGAGGAGTCCATATTTAATGGAAATTAATGGGGTGCAATCCAAACTCCCATTAAAGATAATCGGACGGTTGTTCAATCATCGTCCGCTAATATAATCGGACGCTAATACAATGTTCTTCCCTATTTATAGAACTAAAACCAAATGATGTCAAAGGGTGTCACATAGACATTATTTCTCCACATGATTGATGATGTTAGTCATTGACATTCAACCTGATTTGGAGATTAAGTAATGAGATGCAATATGTAAAGAATAATGAGAAACAAGATTTTAGGTAGAGATGTCCAATATTTGTTTATTACACGATTAGAATGCTGATCTAAATCCATTTCTTTAAATATTAATTTTGTGCTATGGTTGATCAATGATTATCTTGATTTAATTTGTCTTCCATTCCAATTTGAGGATTAGTCTAAACAAAACTCTCTTATCTTCTCAGCCTAAATGAATTTCTAGGTGAAATCATTTTATAATTGGATGAGTTTGAATTCTTACCATCAATTAATGTTTTTAATCAAATGGACTTAATTTTGGGTTTTATATAAGAATATCATTTTGTTTTTTTATACCATGTGATTTTTACTTATGTAATTTCTTGGAAAAGTATCAAAGTTTCATTTTGTGTTATGGAATTCAATTACAAAGTATCAATCCCTGGAACCGTTTCAGGCTTAATAGATAACGTGTAGCTCATTGTGAACAATTTCAAGTAATTTTGTCCCAGAGTAATTTATTTGTTGCTTTATTAACCCGTGCAACGCACAGATAAAAAAACTAGTGTTACTTAATTTTAATTTATAGACATTGAAAAAAAAAATGCTAATTGCGTGAGTTGGACTCCGAAACTTATATAGCAAGAAAAACAGAGAAGTTATAATCTTGGAATTTGGAGGCACATCTGGAAGCACTTTTTGGTAGGTACTCTAATTCTACTTCTTCACTCACCCCTTTCCCTTTCCTCCCGCTTCCCTGCTGTCCCTCTTCTCCTTGTCCCCCTTTCCTTCTTCTTCCTTTCCCGCTTTCTTCCTTCCTTTCCGACCCCTTCTTCCATATCTACCACTACCAAGGCAGCATAATGCCCCCCAGCGCCCTAAGCCTAACCTATCTGTATAACTAGCCTAGCCCTAACCTACCTACTTAAGCCTAATGGTGCCCAAAGCAGGGGCAGGGGGGACGGTCCCAAATGGTTAGTTAGTCCAACCCAACGTGGCTTAGAAGCTTAGTCAGTCTCTAAGGGTGAGTGTATCAGAAACTGTACACTTCTCAATATATAGGACACAGCCAAGGCATCGCTCAGAAATACAGTTTCGGTGTGGGAAAGTTATTTAATCAGTCCTGAAGATAGATTGATTACTTACTTCTCAATTTCTCTTCTCTGTCGTCAGCAAAAGCTCTGTCCCTCCCTTGACCTCCACCAAGCCGGCCTGCATGACAAGAAGAAACACTTCAATCGGCTCTTCATATGACTGAGATTACCTTGGTAATTGAGGACAAGATAGATAGATGCTCTATCTGGGGCTGCATTTCAGGCCCAGCTAAAGGGAAGGCTCTCGGAATGATTCACTGGCAGCATCATTTTTGTTAAGGAATAATAATAATAATAATAAATAAATAAATAAATAGGTTCTGCATTTCCTATCCCACTAGACTAATATCATTTATATTATTTTCTTACAACTCATTAAACTTCTAAATATAATTTGAGCATTGACATTAAAAAGTTTGAACATCTGGTACACGAAAACCAAGCACCAGTCAGTTGCAGAACTTCTCATAATACTGATTTTTAAAAAGTTAAAAATGATGTTAATCAGATACAACAAAAACCATGTAGGATAAAGATACTCTCTCCGGACTACATCCCAAATTGTACGGCACATTCACTATAATTATGTTCCATAAAAATCCATCAAATGGGTCAAACAGTGTTAATCATTTAAAAAATCAGAGAAAAAGAGATCAAATGCTGAATTTAGAAAATGTCAAAGTTAGTGTTCTTCTAGCTATGAAATCTGAAATTAACTAAGGGAGAACGTAATGGAAATTAAGAAAGTAAAATGGGACAAATGAAATACTAGACAGCACACTCATTTTGCTAGAATGAAAATTAAACGATGGCAGAAACTGCAAATGCCACTGATCAAAAGCAAGGAGCCATACAGTGTAACCATTATCATTTTAAAATTTGAAATTCCCTGCATGATATACCATCCAACCTTTCTCCCGCTCAGCCACTAATATTATGGCAAATTTTTCAGGTTTCAACTCTAGCAAAGGGCTACCATCCTATAATTTTTTACTTATGAAGAAGGAAGTTTCCAAAATATAGGATAGATACATCATAGAACAAACAAGCACAATAATCACGGCTACATTGAGCCCCAAAGAGTAGATACAACATATTATATCCGCTAAGGCCTAACGGAGATTCAGATTCAAAACTATTCTAGTGTAAAAATTTACATTACAAATGGGAACCATATACGGAACAAATGAAATGATGACGCTTCGAAAATGTACTGAAATAGAGATTATTTAGCGTACAATGCAAAAAGAAAATCCAAATCCTTTCACAGGGGTTAATTGGGAGGGGGGAATATCTGATCTTACAGGGAAAGATGAAACTTGAAGTTCGTTCACTTTCTGAACTTTAATGTCATCCATAGTGTTACTTGAGTAGCTATTTCTCATAAGAAGCATGCCAATTCAAAGTCAATTCTCAATTATGTCAAAAGATAACAGCAGCTGTCTAAAGTTATTGGTGGGAAGTAACCTTTGCAAATTCAGAGCCAAGCTTTTCGGGAATATAGCAAGGGCCTCCAACACATTGTGTGAGTGTCATTAAATGAATTTGACATCATAAGAGTCATCTTGATGAGTCTGGCTAATGATGGGTTCACCAATAATCACCACACGAGCAAACTCCATTTTGAAAATGATGATAGTGCCTAGTATCCCTGACAACAATGAGACGTTTGGTGATCTTGGATATGACTTTAACAGCAATGTGGCAATCACCACACACACGTAGGTTCTTTGTGATCCTGATTGTGGTCCCCGGATCAGTGTTCATCATTGCAAAGGCAATTGCCAGTTTCTCACTATGAACAACCAAATGATTTTCTTTGTCTTCCTCCTCAACATCATGCAGAGCACCACCAGTTACTGGGACATACCCCGCTTCCTTTATCTTCCCAATCAATGCATCTAACTCTTCATAAATCTTCCCTGATTGAGAATGCCACCTGTCACCAGCAAGAAATGTGTGCACTTGGTTATTGAGCTCAACGTAGCTAAGACCGGGAATTTTCTTGATACCCCTTTCATTCATGATTGTCCGAGTTTTAGTCACATCTTGCCATCTTCCAGCCCTTGCATAGATATTTGATAACAAGACGTAATAACCAGACTGCCTAGGTGCCAGCTGGAAAAGATTATCTGCAGCTATAACCCCTATATCCATGTCATTATATATACGACAAGCATTCAAAAGGGAACCCCATATCCTCTCACTAACATCCATCGGCATCTTCTTGATAAAAGAGTACGCCTTATCTATTTGCCCAGCTCTTGCCCTCAGATCCACCATGCAAGCATAATGTTCTAACCTTGGAACAATCATATACTCCTCTGTCATTAGATTGTAGTAATATTCTCCTGCTTCTAAGAGTCCTGCATGACTGCATGCTGAAAGGATAGAGACAAAAGCAATGGAATCCGGTTTGGGACCACATTCAAGCATTCTCGAAAACAAATAAACCGCATCTTGACCATGTCCACTCATACCGTAAGCATTGATCAAGGAAGTCCATGACACAACATCTCGAAACTCCATGACATCAAAAACTTCCCTTGCTTCACGTAAACACCCACACCTAGCATACATATCAATCAGAGCATTTTCAAGAGATAAATTAGGGTGAAGTCCATTCATCTTGACCTTCTCATGAATTCTCTTTCCTAACAATACAGCAGAAAGGTCGCCGCAAGAAGGAAGAACTGTAGCAAAAGAGATTGCATCAGGCTCTACAGGAGAAGCCTCCATTTGTAAGTATGTTTCGACGGCCTCTTTAGGCATCGAGTTCTTGACATATACAGCCATCATCACATTCCAGGAGACCAAATCTGTTTTGTCCATATCCAGAAACAAGTTCCTCACAAATGCAACATTTTCCATACATGTATTGGTTACAGCTGGCAAAAGGCTAGCCATTGTCCCAGCATCAGGTTTCAGACCCAATAAGTTCATTTCCTTGCAAACCTCTAATGCATCATCAAAGCTTCCATTTTGAGCATATCCTACGACCATTGAGTTCCAAGAAACAACATCCCTTTGAGGCATTTCATCAAGAACCCGCCTAGCCTCAGCCAAAAACCCACACTTCCCATACATGGCCACCAAACCATTCCCTGTGTATAAATTCGAATCAAGGCCATTCTTTACAATTGGTCCGTGAACTTGCACCCCAAACCACACATTCTCAGAAACTGAACAGGCTTTCAGAATGCACGGAAGGGTATAACGGTCAGGCTGAATACCATCCATATGCATGCTTTTGAACAGAAAAATAGCATCTTGATAAAATCGGTTGTTGACATAGCTTCTGATCATGACATTGTAAACCACGACATTTTTAATGGAGATTTTGTCAAACAGCTGCCTTGCGGTAGTAGTCTGGCCACAAGCAGCATATGCTCGCATCAATTTGATGTGGATGGACGTGTTTGGGCATAGGGTTGGGTCAAAGATGATCCTGGAATGAATTTGTCCTAGTGTCTTGATATCTGGGAATTTGTCTAATATTCGACTGTAAAGTGTAAACATCTTCAGAGTGGAGGGAAATGTGGGAGTTTGGTTGGAGGATAAAAGGTACACGTCTTAACATTCGATTTGATGTTGTAAAAACAGAGAGAAACTTCGCCGTGAGGTGAGGCGGCCGTCGAATGAAGTATCAAGTACCACATAAGCATTCGTCTACTTCACGAATCTAAGACACAAAGAAGGAAAAAAATTATAGCAGAAAGGTCAAAGAGGAGTGAACATGTTAATAACATACTCCGTATTACGGAGTACGTAGTATATGTTTTTATAACTGTGTCAGTCCCAAGGTTGAAAATTGCTATCTGAGACAATTGGAGAAGATGAAGGAATACTGTAAGCGGTTTAGAGGAGTTGACGTCAGGTTTGGGCATGAGCGCAACAATGTAAGTCCTCCACCCCTAGCCTAACCAATCAAGGTTGAAATGTTGAATGTGATAGAATGTAAATAGAGACATAAGCGGTGTTTGGATCTGATTCGCAAAACTGATTCTGCTCCTTGAAGGAGCAAAATCAGAAGCTGGAGTGTTTAGGTGAAATTTGTGAAGCGCTTGTGGTGCTCTAATTTACTTCCAGAATCAGTTTTTTAGAAGCTGGGGGTACCAGCTTCTGAAAACTGATTCTGATTCTACTTCTGCTTTTAAGAAAGAAGCAGAAGCAGAATCAGTTCCAAACACCCCCATAGAGATGGGTGAGGATGTATTAACGAAAGGATGACAAAAGTTGAAATGATGAAGTTTTTTGGGATGATCAAAAAAGAAAATTTGATCTTATATTACGAGGTAGTAAAAAACTGATTGAAAGCACATAATAATAGATATTAATATGAAGGAGTGTCATTTCACAGTTTAATAAACAAGTCAAGCTTTTAATTAAACCCTAAGTAACTTTCAAAAAAAAAAACCTAAATAAACATGACTAAATGACGGAACGGTGATATCGACTTTAATTTCTCGTTAAGTTGTACGTAAACGGGTCCTTATTTTGGTGCTTATATTTGCTTCATCCGTTACTTAAAATCATTCCTCATCTGACTTGGATCAGAGTTTAAGAAAGTGACAATAACGTGAAAATATGTAGTTGTGGTTGAGACAGAAAAGAGTAAATGAACGTTAATTACCCAAAACTTTCCAAAAAGGTAAATTTCTTGAGAAGATTTTTAAGGGATGAAGATAATATTATTTTTTATTTTATATAAACATCAAAAGATACTCCATAGATAGTAAGAAATATACTTGAGTTCCTATTCAACTCTTATGAATGATTTTTTTGTAGGATATGATTTAAGAAAAATTATTAGTGTCCATCAATAGTACACAAATATTATCTTTAGATAGTCAATTCATTTAAAAAAGACCAAACTTATGTCAAGAATGGTTCATGGTTTTATCGGGTCTCATACTAAAAAGTAAAAATGGACTAAAAATCGAAATAGACATAGGAGATAGATAGAGAGAGAATAAATATTTGAATGAAGTGATGTGTAGGGAAAAATGAAAAAGAGGAGAGAGATAGAGGTAAAAATGGACCAAGGTCTATGACAAGGTCCATATATGGACCTTACACGGGATTCAAGGAGGAAAAGTTGATGAAAAGTGGATTAAAAGTGATTAAAAACTGAAAATGAAAATAAATTAGGAAATGCGTGGGTCCTACACATAAAAATTGTAAGATAAAAAATGGGACTCATGCAATGTGTAAGAGACCACACCCTTGCATTGGAGTTGCTCTTGGAAGTCAGAACACGTTTCGGTCTCAACTTAGGCTCTGTTTGCAAACACAACTGGGAAGTACTTTTAACATTTTAAATGATTTGGTAAAAAAGTGATTAATGGTAAAAGTTGGTAGTGTTTGAGAAAAAAGTGATTTTGAAAAATAAAAGTTGGTGGTGTTCGGTAAAATAAGTGTTTTTTGTGTAATAGAAAAAGAAAAAATCAGTTTCTAGCTTTTAGCTTTTTAGTAATTCATTTAAGTAGAAGTTGTCATTTGAAAACATCTATTTTTTTGTTTTAAAATCAAAGGCTGGGAAGTGTTTTTTGCAAAAAAAAATATATATATATATAGTCCAGATAACAGAAAACGCGATACATCGATCTCCGTTGACCTGAACATTTGCAGTACAATTCGTGTTTCAGAGTAAGTTTCCCGAGCGATTTTGGTTTTCTTGCTTTCAACAAAACTGGCATTGCGTTATCCCAAAATTGTATTTCTTTGGTATATGTATCTCTCAGCCTGCTCTATCTGTTTGTTACTTTCATTTTATTGATCTAACTTAATTTGACATATGACGTAGAAGTATCTGAATCCACCTTACAAGTGACAACGACGATTTTCCCCAAATGTAATCCAAAACCTATTTTTTTCATCATGTTCGGTAAGATGAATTCTGGTCCTGTAAAAGTAATCAAATTTTTCATATTTATCTTTTATTGGAACTGATCAGCTTAAACACATTTATAAAAAAATGACGAAAATTTGGAATCCATCACTTCACTGTTGCTGAGGGTTTTTAGGCGTTCTGGATCTGAACTGTTATTATACTACTGAAGAAAAGTATGACCGAATCTGAATAAATGGCAGAAGGAATTCATTGTTTTATAAAAATTAATTTATATGGTTGAATAATTGTTTTATTATTCAACAATATGATGCAGGCTTCAGCAGCCAACAAAAAACATCTTCTAATTCTTTTAATGAAAGTTCTAGTTAGTTTTTGCAGGGATTTGTTTCATTTGCTATGGATGTAAATCTGAATTGGTTGTCTTAGAAGAGAGGTCCTCAAGTTTTAATTGATGGTAGAAAAACACCCAGACAACCTGAGTGTTTTTACAGTAATAAAGCTGGGCTATTTTAAAAACACCCAGACAACCTGGGCCCGTATAGTTAGGGTTGTGCTAATGAGATAACTTAGTCTGCTAAAATTCTGAAAGGGAAAACGTTTGGTAGCATCAATTTCATCTAAATAAGTCAAAGGATAACAAGCCGATTGTGGGTACCAAATGGAGCCTAAGAGGGTGTCTGGAACAATTTTGACAGACTGATTCTGCTTTTTCAAGGATCGCTTTGAAGCAGAATCAATTTATTGAGTGTTTGGATCTCATTTAAAAAGTGCTTTGAGAAGGCCAAAGAATCAGTTTTACAGAAGCTGGGCAGTACCAGCTTTTCAATAACTAATTCTACTTCTTTTAATTTTATTCTTATAATAATACCCTCACTCAATGTGCTTTCAGATCCCTACACGCCGCATACCACATCCAACCTAGGGCATTTCTCTTCTTCACGTCATTCTACCAGCCGTCTCTTCTCTTCTCTAGCCCAGGCAAACCATTATCTCCAATTGTAAGGTATATTCTGAAGTTGTGGATTTGCTGATTTTCTCTTTTATATGATTATTAACTTTGACTATGTATGTAATTATAGTCTTTGGTAATTTTTATACAATTATTTTCTTTGGGTTAGTCATGTGCATGTGATTTTCAGTGTTAACTGTTTTGATGTCTTCTTCACGTCATTGACATATGTTTTTTCTGCTAAAATTTCTGAAAGGAAAAATGTTTGGTAGCATCCATTTTGTCCAAATAAGTCAAAGGATAATAAACCAATTGTGGATTTGTGGGTACCATGATCTTGATCTGAAACTACTCACAGTCAAACTACTGATCTGAAATCCCATGATCTTGCTTTCTTTCCATGGCTTCTGCTATTTTTTATTTCTGGTCGTTATTGTTATTGTGTTGATAAACCAAAACTTTATTTCTCTGTGCATGTGTACCTGCAGATGATTAATGATCAGGACCTGGGCTTCTTTGCCAACTTCCTTGGCATCTTTATATTCGTGTTGGTGATTGCATATCACTATGTGATGGCTGACCCAAAGTATGAAGGAAACTGAGATTCACTTTAGGTATCTCGGTGCACTATGAAGTAGAATGGATATCATTTGTGTTGGCCATTTTATTTACTGAATGGATCTCATGGAATCATTTTGAAGTGGAAAAACTTTATAGACTTAACAAATGTGTTTTTCTGATCAAATTCCTTGATTTTCTGGGAAGTTGATTATACATTTGTTTCTTGCATGCAGTTACTATATCTAATTAGAGGGTTCTTGGTTCACGTAAATTTTTACTTATTTTGTTGTTAAATTGCTATGGACGAAGTGAGAGTAGTAATCTGTACCAAGGTAGTTTTTTTTAATACCAAAGAACCCAAGGTAATGACGTTATTTCTATCCAAAGGTTATACAATATTACCTTGGTAATATGAATGCTTCAAAGTTGAAATAAACGAAGCAATCTCACTTTAGGTTTATCACATTATCAAGATAATGTGAGATACTGAGATTACATGATCCAAACACCCTTTAGCATCTTTTTGATGTATTTGTGTTACTGGAGAAGTTTCATGCCCAACAGATGTATATTTGGAAAACTGAATGCTGGCCATTGGGAGGGCCTCAGGGCCATATCCATTGGGTTTTGCAACCGGTCTGTGGTAGTCTGGTTAGGTTAGCCTTGTGCTTGCACGCAATTGCACACTTTGAAGAGTGCTCAAGTTTTTGTTGCGGTGTTCTTAGTATCAGTTTGAGATACTGTTGTAAAAGGTGTGAGGCACTATGTGGGTGGTAGTCTGATACCTAGCTGGGGCTGATTAAAAAAATAGTAAGCCGTGAAATTTTTGTTAATAGTGACTAGATTGGTACAGATATGAGGTAATTAGAACAGAGGTTTGACTAGATGGTTGTCTTAATAGATGTCTCAGTCTCTTGTAGAGCTAGATGGGAATAATTATTCAGTCATGTCGTTTTTAGACAAGAACAGACTGTGTTTGAACATCATCACTGGTTACAATGTTCCCAACTGTTCCCAGGACATGTCTGAGAATTGTAGCAGATGGCTGAAACAGAAGTTCTACCAGCCGTGGGAAGACACTTGCCTCTTGCTGCTTGGATCTTATCCTTTGGTCCTACCGACAGATACACAAGTGCCCAACAGTCATCTTTTTCAACTTCTTTATCATTCATCTGGACTAGTTGCTGAAGAAAGGGCAATGTAGCTTTGACCAGGTCAAATGGTGTTGGCGGCTTGCATCTATAGGAGTTTGACAAAGTCCAGGTTGTGGCTTCACCAGCAATATTTCCCAAAGCCCAAACAGCCTGCTCACGAACATCATCATGAGTGAATTAAGAAACTGTATAGACTTAGGAAGTTGGGAACAACACCCTGTTCAATAACACCCCTTGTGTGTTCAGATGAATAATCAGCCAGAACCCAAGGAAACACAAGATACTGAGTTAACTCATTATAAGATCCTCCATCGAGTGTGCTACGAATCATCAAGTACTCAGAGTTTGTATTCTCTCTTCTCCTACAACCTTCCTTGGAGATTTCAGCCGCTTCCAACGCACCATGTTGATCAACCAAGTAACCAACGTAATAATGCTAGTCTTGTCCCTGCATCCTTTTGGAGACATTGATTCATTTCTGTTTGTAACGATCAAGTTGCCAACATCCCTTGCATCAATTTGGTTTGCAAACTTCAAAAACACTAGAGCAACAGTGTCGTCGAAGGCTATCTGAATTGCTGTGTTTTGAAGCTGAAATCTGGCCATGTGGATCTGTTCTATACAATAGGTACCTATTGGATCCAAATCATTTCTATGGTTGAAATCATTCATCCTGTTAGCTTCAGACAACTCAGCATTAAGCTAAGCATTTATATTCACATATTCCACAGCAGAAACAGAGGGATGAATTCCATTCCAATTAATGCACTACCATTCAGAACTATGGTCTGATGCGGGCCTAAACCGTATTCCAAACAGCCATTACAAAAGGATTCCTGAAACCTCTTTGCTTCCCTGTTCTGATCTGAATGGAAGCCTTGCCAATTCTTCTAAGCAGGCTGAGTTCCACTTCCATATTTCCAACATCATCGTCTAGTTCAGCTTCCAGTCCAGCGACCACTGACGATTTCTCCTCTGGTCCCTTGTCACCAATGATGAACGTATCTTCAGAGAGAGGTTGCCGTGGATTGCCAGACTCCTGCGACTCGGACAGCAATGGCGGTCTGGAAGCTTCTCCTCCCAATCGCATCGTACCTTGAAGTGAACTGCTAGCGTAGGATGAAGTCTGCGAACTGATGGTGTCTCTTCTTGTTGACTGGGAGATACTGTTCGCAACGAAGCTGAAGCGGCTTGCGATGACATCCGCGAACTCGTAGAATCAGCTAGCGACTGCGAACTGGGAGCAACGACGAACGGCGATGCTGAGCTGATTCTGGAATTCCGGCAGCCTCTAACCATTCTCCTCGATTGTCCTCGCCGGCGACGTTGTTGATGTACACGATATATCATCTCGTCCAGCATCGTTTCCCTCTTCGTGAACTGGCGTTCGACTCTTCCAATGCTATTATCTACTTCAGTGATTTTTTATTCTCTGATACCAATGATAGGTTCAGCGAATTCCAGTAGATGATTGCAGTATATTCTGAAGATTTAATGATGGAATACAGAAAAGAACGAAAGCAAATGTTGAGACTCTTCGAGTGGTCTCACACTCCCAAATTCCCAGTCCCGGTTCCAAAATTCTGCCTGCCCATTTCCTCACCACTCTCACTTATTTGGGCCAGCCCACTATTACATTTTATTAAAATATTCAGCATTATTTCTATTATATCTCACTCCATAAGCCCATAAGTCCCGGTCTCTATCACATTCTCTAGTATGTCACCTAAGAACTTGGGTACCACCCTTGCAATTTGGAGGGCACTTTCGCCTACAGAAAAAAACCCATATAATATGTAATTATGTATGAGTGGTTGAGCATAAACCTCTGGGTCCCCTAAACTATGGCGCCCTAGGCCGTTGCCTTTCTTGCCCACCCTTGAGGTAATGTTAAAAACACAGCTGCACTAGAGCATGTTCTACCACCCTTAGGGTAATTTTAAAAACTCAGCTGCACGCCTGCACCAGAGCATATTCTACTATTTTACATTCTAAATAGGAGGGAAAAATCTAGCCAGGGATCAAATAATCAATAATTACACACTCCAGTGGGATATGCATCACAAATTACCAGTCAGTTTACACAGTGGGATATGCATCACAAATTACCAGCCAGTTTACGCATAACTGTTTCTTGAAATATTTTCCCAATTTAGCATTTCTATTGGAATATCAACTGCACTTTTAGATAATGATATTTGTTAAGATTCCCTATTGTAAATATTACAAGAAATAGTTTTTGATAATTAAAATAAAACTGCTAATAACGTACTTCATATGTTTTTGCTAGAAGAATATTTTCAAAACGTGAATAAATATTGTAAAATAGAATTGGTTGCTGCTAGCTCTTTGTTACTCTTTTGTTTCATCTGCATAAAAGCGAAAATATTGTCAAAAACTTCAATGTCAACATGAAAAAAACATCCCTGCATTCTACTAGATTGCTGCCCTACAGATGGATTGTGTGCTAAATTGCAAAGCAACACAAGTTTGCTCTCAAGTTGATATCAGGTTTTCTGCTTTGACTTGTCAAGCCGGTGCAAAAAAAGTAAACCCGTTCCAGGTTAAGAGTTAAAAGGCTACCAAATTCCAGAGGGATGATCATCTACCTTGGTCACAAAAAACCCATCCAATTATGAACATTGGGGTAGAAATGCCTTGTCATCTCTAATGATGGATGAAATTGGCATTCTCCAAAGCGAGCAGAACTGCTTTACGACGTAAAGTTTACGTCCCGTTTCATTAAGACATAGTCAACAACTGCTTCATTCTGCGGGATTTTTAACATTCAAATGTGTGTGTACACATAACACACATATAATGATAATAGGGGGAGAAAGTCCATTTCAAATTACAATCTCTTATTAAAGCATGTGAAGTAGACAACATATCCTCCACTTTTGGAATTCGCTTCCACCAAATCAATAGCAGCGAGGAGAGTTGCTACAGAGTACAGACAACCCTGTTATTGTAAATTTGTAAGTGTCAATAAGATAAGAATGCATGCAGGCATATGGACCATATGATCAACCATTTAAGTGCTCAATTATGATTTCAGTAGCTTTGAAGCAATAATAATATTAAGCATAAGAAAGAACTTCAAAAGTTGCCTGATTTACAAACCTTTTGCAAGGGGCACACTTTTGGATTTCTTCCAATCTTTTGGATGATTTTACTGACTCCTCTTTTGATATATCACATGAAGAAGAAGAAGAAATCATGTATTCATACCAGCCAAATGGCCAATCATATTCTATGTTATGATGTTTCGGTAAATTGGATGACCCCTTAAGGCAGTTAGTCCCCCCTTGTTCAGTTGTTTGCAATTGTTTCTAATGTTATCATTGTTAATTTATTAACTATCAGATTCCCTTACTTTCTAACTTTCTTTTGGCGAATCTAAGCATAAAATGATGGTTTGATCCACATTTGAGGCCCGTAGACAACTAAGGAGTTTACTTTTTCCATCAAATTCAGTCTGGATTAAAATGTTTTTTCAATAAGATGTCTGTCTGAATTAAGTGATATATATGTATTGCAATGCTTATTTTGTGTCATGAACAACCAATCTAAATAGGATAAATAAAAAAGGTTATTGTGTTTTTTCTTACCTAAATAGGAGTAATATATCACAGATTAATGATTAAGCCACAATGAATAAATCGTGTTTTGAATGAAGTCATGTATAATAGTACTTAGTGAGATTACTGTGACACTTTTAAAGAGAAGATCACATGGTCAAAATTCATCTCACTAAGGATGTTTGACATTTTACAAAGTGGAAATATTATAATTGAATTGTGATTACATCCAAAAACAAATATACGACTTAGTGAACTTAGTTAATTCGTAAATAAATATGACTTAATGGCTGAAAACAAACTCACTATCCTTGTTAAGCCTATTAAATCACAAGTAAGCGGCCTTAAGCTTAATCAATTAATCAAATTGCTTACCGCAGTCAAGGAGCATCCAATGACACTATCACATGAATTAATTCCCAACATTTTTGGCCATTTGGGTGCTGGATGTAAGAGATTTTTTTTTGGAAAGGTAAAAACATTAGATAAGCGACATATATAGTATAGCTTCTATCAATTAAGTTATTAATTAACAAATCAGAGATAAAGTCTCATGTAGACAACTACATATGTAGAACCAAAAACATCCAATGTAGACAACTAAGGCCACATGGCCCACATTAGGTATTTTTTTCAGAATTAAAAATACATTTCTGAATTAACTTCATGTCAGGCCGGTCTGATGGGATGTTCCGTCTGACTGAGCCCGTTTGGCACCTTCCCGGTGGAATTTTTTGATGAATTTTTTTGAGCATGTTGCTCATCAAGTCTAGTTTGTGCAAACCAAATTTCAGCTCAAAATTCAATAGGGAAGGCATTAAAATCATTTTTTTAAGTTGACTGCAGTTTTATATGTATATTTTGATGCAGTCAACTTCAAAAAATGATTTGAATACCTTCCCGATTGAATTTTGAGCTGAAATTTGGTATGGACAAACTAGACTTGATGAGGAACATGCTCAAAATATTTCATCAAAAAATTCCACCGGGAAGGTGTTCAAACGGGCTCGGCCGGACGGAGCATCCCGTCAGGCCGGCCTGACAAAGAAGACCACTCATATATGATTATTTTCAATTCATTATACATCAAATACCATATGATTTTTAAAATTATAAAAACAATAAACTGAAAAACTGACCGGACCATATGGGCTAGTTTTTTATAATAATTTTTGTGCACAGTTAACTAGTTTGGACTATTACTATGAAGTTCTCTAGTAGAAGTTATTTTTATTAAATACGACAAAGTAATGATTATTGGCTTCAATTTTGCCAAAAAATCAAACGAAGAAGTTTTTTTTTATTTAAAAGACCATCAAATGAACAAGTTAACATCTTTAATTCTTGATATATTATATTTTGTAAAACAGTTAAGTAATTGAGATTATTGTTGTGAACTTTTTTTTTTGGAAAACTTTTAAATTATGTTTATAAAATAGTAAAAGTATAGAGAGTATTATAGAATGATGTGCACATTTAGATTTTTCCCAGACTAGGCCAAAAAAATCAAAGGCTTCAGCCCTTTCTCGTAACAATCTGAAAACATTTCCCCCCATCTGAACAGAGGGCGGCCAACACAGAAGAGTTAAGGCAGCCTTCAGGCTCCAGCAGTGACAAGTCCGGCGGCTTTGCTATTCAGAAAAATCATAGTTCGCCAATCCTTGATTCGGGTATGCCGTTCAGTCCTTTTCACAGAACACTTCTTTTACATCACTACATGTCTCATTTTGTTGTAAAATTTATCTTTGTTGATGGGAAAAATTCCCGACACAGTAGCAAAACCACTAGAAATTTAAAAAGATGATTACTACGGAGTATGTTTTTTCCACGAGCATAACCGTGGATGTATGAAATATTATTCAATGCATTTGCTTGTTTAGATATTATGCCAAACTCTGAGGGTACTTATACTTTGAAATTTTTGGAGCTGAGGGGGATGTAAGGGGAAATGGTCTCCTCCCCTTATCTGGTTGACAAAATTTTGGATGGGGAGTTGTTCAAGTACCTCTCCCTTCCCTGTCATTTGTAATCCCTCCAATTTCTTGATTTTTTGGAGGGGAGGATTTGAGGTATGTTTGGTTAAAAGGAGAGGAGAGGAAGGTAGAGGAGGGAGTTTAATTTTTATGAGAGCTTATTTGGGTTTGTTGGAAAGGGGTAGGGAAAAGGAATGAAATTATGCATTCCAAAACCCCGAATTGGGTGAAGGAAAATGAAGTGAAGAGAAGGAGAGGCCAGGGAAAATCAATCATCACCCCCTCCCATAACAAAAGAAGGGGAGGGAACATTTTCCTTCCCTCTTCCCTAAAACCCCTAACCAAAGTACGCTAAATTTTACTACATTCCTGCCCCCTCCGTCCAGACCAAATGAGAATAAGACAGGAACACTCCCCTCCACTCCCTTCCTTATGGAGAGGTAAGAGAATAAACAGTCCAAATCGTTTTCATGTCTAAGTTATTTCTCGACTGCTTTACCTAGGTGGAACAAATTTCTAAATTTATTTTGAATACATTGAAAATGGCCAGGGAATCTCGATACCCTTTCCTGAAGCTTATTCACCCTTATTAGTGTATTTTGATGCATAAACTAGCTTTATAGACTAAGTTAATTGTTTTTAGGACTAAGGGTTTAGCTCTCTCTAACTGTGTTGTCAAATATATATAGCGGCAGTATAGTGGTTTGCAGTCACAGATTTTGAAGGAACCGTCATGCGATAGCGGGTCATTGCAGATTCACCATAGCTCTGCAATGCGGCCGCTATAGTGGATTGTGCCATTGTGGTGGGTGCTATGGCGAATTGTGGTCGGCTGTGAATCTTTTGCCCATCTTTTAACTATTCTAACTCATTCTGACTAATTTTATGTGTGCTTTTAATGTAATTAAACTCAAAAAACTATCTATCAGCCTAGCTAGTTTATTTTAGTTTACTTATTTGCTTATCATTACGGTCTGACGAAATCATGGTCTAGCATTTTTCTACTTCTTCGGGGACTTGAAATACTCGCACCAGACCTCCCGTTAGATTCCGAGTCCATTCTCTGTCACCCTTCTTGCTATGTAAGCCTCTTCGTTTTTTAACTGAAACTTTCTAAAGACAGCATTTTCCAAATACCAGGATGTCACAATCTTCTTCAAAAAGCAAGAACACAAATGACTTCTGTGTGGGAGTATTGTGATTGAGGATATGAAAATGGAATCATGTCACAGCTGTTTTATTTAGACTTCCAAATATTATGTAAAAGGTACTTAAATTTGACTCATTGTTCAATATACTAAGACTTCCATGTGAGAAATTTTTGAAACATGGCAGTTTACTAGTTTTGTGTAATGATTCTGTGTAAATTTCAAGTTTTCAAATGTTTTAATTTCACTGAAATATTCCATATTTTATTACTTTAATACTTTAATGCTTACATCTCTTATGATATTTAAATAAAACTAGGGAAAATTCCCGAAATAGGAGTGAAAACGTTTGAGAAATCTAAAATAGGACTGCAATGTTTTTATTCCCTTAATATTAGTAATTACTGCCAAGTTTGGAAAATACTGCCATATTTAAAGTCCGGTACTGTCAAAGCATGTCAGTAATTACTCCTATTTAGGAAATAAAAACATGAAATTCCTATTATTTGAATACACAAATGTTTTTACTCCTATTTCAGCTATGTTTCCACAGTTCTGCTATTTACCGCAATAATATCCGCTATATTTACATGGCTTTTTTTTGCTTTCCGCCATAATCTGCTATCTACTATTCATAGCACTACTCTGTAAGGGGAATCCCATAAGACACCAGATTTGTGACCCTCACTGGCTCACTTTAGCACTGAAGTTAGTCATTTGGTTTGTCGGACGCAAAGTTTTTTTGAGTTTTGACATTTGTTCATTTTTCAACTTGCACCATGTTCATTTTTTGAGTTTTGACATTCTGTTGTAATGTATGGTAAGATGATCATGCTGATTAAATTTCATGGATCTCTGTTTGTAGTAGCAAAACATGCACGCAATAAAGGCTGCACGCTCTATGCGAACATTTTCCCTTGTTACTTGCAATAATTCTAGAGGACGGAAGGCAGGGATTAGGCGTTCGAAGGAGGAGAGAAAATCTATGGTTGAGACCTTTATACAAAAGTAAACTCATTCTTGATTTTACTTTTTTGACTTTGCAATTTGTTTTTTCATAGGGGTGTAGGGTTCTCTTCTTTCTTTTTCATCATTATCCCTTTATGCACTTGCATAAATTGTAAACAGAAATGACTCCACAGTTGGAGTGGAGTGAGAAAGCAACATTCCATTCTCAGACACTAAGTGCACGTTTGAGAGTTGATTTTGTAGGGGTTTGGAGGGTGAAGTTAGTGGAGGTATTATTAAAGGACAGCCCATTGCACATTGGCGTTACCATATGGTGAGGGTCTGGGAAGGATACCTTTACAAGTTTGTATAGGGGATAAGCCCTTCCCTTGTCTACTTTTGACAAGAGACCGCTCCCAAGACTTGAAATCGTGACCTCTTGCTCAATGGTCACACAAATACACAACAACACTTTAACAGGTGAACCAAAGCTAGGGGAGGGGTTATACTTATTTCTAATTCAATAGAGCTATTTACGGTTTATGGTCATAAATGAACGACCATGACATTGAGTCTATAATATTTTATCTTCTTTTATATTTTTATTTGTTTTTTTTTCAAGTTAAATAACTAAAAATCCTCCCCTCGCCTTCAAAACCCTCCAAAACAAAATCCCCTGACATAGCCTAATTGGATGACCTTATTAATAATTTCTCTGAAATCCTGCTGCTGACAGATATCAAAAGTCAAACTGCGGGAACTTTCCTACAATTAATCTTACACACAAGGAAGTTGGTGGCTCATACTACATAGTACGGCAAATTGTTCGAGAAATTATCCAAGAAAACAAAGTTTTGGGTCCCACTAAGCTACATCCTGAAGATCATCCCGACCAAATCTCCCTGGAACGATTTTCATTAGGAAGTGACAATACAGTTGATAAGGACAAAGCAAGTGGACTTCCGGTTTATACAGAGTCACTGGCAAGAGAGATCCCCGAAGGGTATGTCTAGTCATGGAAAATGCTACAGAAAGGGGGGGGGGAATGCTCAGAAAAGCTATGTTTTTTATGTTTGATTTTACCTTGGAAAATGCATATGGAAAATGAAATTGATAAATTTTTAAAATATTTTTCACACACATAGATCTTTAGATAATAAATAAAACTAATATCAACAAATATCTGAATAAAACTATTGATTTTAGTCTATCTTTTTATTTTCCCACACTTGATCTTCTTTTAATATTTTTCTATGTTTTCCTTCTTACTATGTATTTCTAGTGTTTTTCAAGAACCAAACAGACATGAAAGGATAGAAATACCAGAAGCTTCAAGTGTTGTTGATGTTGCAGTTGAAAAGTTTCCAACAAAGGCCACCTCTATTCCAATTGATAATATTGAAGAAAAAATAGGTGATGCTCCCATTAGAACCAAGAGAGAACAGGACGGGAGGAACTTCTTAGAAAAAACTTATGCTTTGGTGAATGAGAATGTTTCTGAAACTCTTGAAAGTCAAGCAGTGGAAGGAAAAACTGATGTTGTGAATAAGGAAACAGTGCATCAGGAGTTTGGAAAGTCATCTTTGCAAAATTTAACTTCCTCTAGAGACAAATTAGCAAGTGGTGCTGTGAATGCCGAGAATACATATGCTGCTACAATTGAGGTATGCTTTTTGCATACATATAGGATCCATCTGGGAGAGAGTTTACAGAATTTAGAGCTTTAAAAGCTCCAAAGGAAGCTTTCTAGATCACTTGGATGGCACTCTGTTTGGAGCTTTTTAGAGTTTCAAATGCACATTCCAGAACAGAGTTTAATTTCTACTAGTGACAAAATGGAGTTTTTGGAACTTCAGGGGCTTTTAGATTATCTTTGGATACTTCAGACGTAGAATATTATAATTTAATTTGTGATCAGGTTTTATAAACAAAGTAAGTATTAACCAAGAACTGCATAACTTATTTGTTAGTTTATACTCCTATTCTTCAATAAGTGTCTCCTTAGGCTTTACACGGTTTTTAAGATAAAAATAGTAGGGGTAGTATAGAGGGTGTAGAGTAAATGAAAAAGTAGGAAAGATAATATATTTAGAAGAGTAAAATAATGATAAAGTAGGAACGAGAAAGTAGTATGTAAAAAGTAAAAAGGGGCAAGGGCAATAAAAGTGGGGGTATAAAAGTATTTTGATTAAAAAAACTTGCTAAAAAGGGAAAGTGGGACAAATAATTAAAAACATCCCAAAAAGGAATACGAGACAATTATTAGAGAACAGAGGGAGTATTATAACAAATATACTAATAAAATTATTAGTTAAAAGAACACCATCTGTCCTGAATTTCTCTTCCTGTTTCAACTTGAAGCGCTTATTGAGAAGATGAAATTATTTGGTTGAGTTCTCTTTCAAAAAGAGAGAAACAATATCAACCATAGTACCATAATATTCTTTCCACAATATGAAACGAGAAGAGAAGAAACTTATGGACGGATTGGTATTATTTGTACGGATTGTCATAATTTAAAACTATTTTTCCATCTTAAATTGTAAATAAAATAAATTTATTGTTGCAATAGTTTTATTGTGATACTTTTTTCTTTCAATGTTCATGAGTTATTTAATATTTCAAACAGTCAATTCACTATCACAGATATTTTCCAAGCATATTTTTTTCATTTTCTCACTGCTCCAAACTCACCTCCGGTGCTGTAAAGACACCAATTTCACCATTCTCACAAATCGATTTCTAATAACCCGTTTTCCTTAGACAAGCATTGTCTTTTAAGTTTTAACTTAGCTAGAAAATTGTTCAACTTTTTTATAGAAAGTCCGATCAATGTCTTATGCATCCAGATTAACTCTCTTATCATGAAAACCAAAAGATTCATATGGAAACAACATTTGAAATTTCAATTATGTTTCTCATATGGCACCTTATATATAACAACGTACTACATTATCATTTGACCTGGAATTTTATGATATGGTCGAATTACTTTGGTTTGGTATGGTCTTTTTAAATGAGATCTTGTATAGTCTATTTTGATTTGATACAATATGCATTTTATTTTATTTATTTAATTTAATGTTAGTATTTTTTGCTTTGCTCTTTTTAAGTCTGTTTTGGTATGTCCAGTTTTGTCTAATCCGGTCAGATCTGGATTGGACTGAAATAAGTCCAAGAAACTAGATCTTTAATCATGTCAATTTGATAATGGCAAGATACATAAGTCCTTTTTTATTGGGCACCTTAAAACTTTCCAGTTATAAGTTATAACAAGGATAAACCTGAAAATAGAAAAGTATACATCTGCGTAATATAGAAAGTAGAAACTGGACTATCTTTGTGTGTTGACTTACTAAATGGTTAAGATTGAATTTAGTAAATGTGTTGACTATCTTTGGAAACTGTAGTTTATGTTTCTTAATCCTTAGATTGAATTATCTTAAACCCAATACTCCGGCCATTTCAAATAGTTAACTTCTCTTGTATTTGCAGAGCTCAAATGGCAGTTCCCACAAAATATTGGTTGCTGAGGAATCTCTTACAATCAACAATACACCTACTGCTCCACAAACTGGTACACACCTGAAAGATCGCGCTTCTCCAGAGAATATGTAAGTACCTTGAGGTTCGAACTGCTTTTAAGAATTATTATTAGGGAAAATTCCTGAAATAGGAGTAAAAACATTTTAGAATTCCAAAATAGGATTGTCATGTTTTTATTCCATAAATAGGAGTAATTACTGCCTAGCTTGGAAAATATTGGCATGTTAATAGCCTTGTATTCACAAAACATGGCAGTAATTACTCCTATTTAGGGAATAAAAACATGACGGTCCTGTTTTGGAATACACAAATGCTTTTACTCTTATTTAGGGAAAAAATTTGCTTATTATTACTACTATTATTATTATTGTTGGTGGTGGTGGTGGTGGTGATATGTCCATCCAGTTTCTAACTAAGGGTTCATTTAATTGCGTCTCATATATTGTTTTATTATATTTGTTTTTTGTTTATTTAAATTTTTGTTTTGTTTTAATTTAGAATATTTTTTAGATATATTTTTGCAGATTTATTGTGAAGATAAGCTTTGCACTCTTGATTTAGAAAAGAAACTCTTCGTCGTGTTAGTATCTTTTGTTTTGACTTGGCACAAGGATTAATAAAGTGAAAATAGTGTGGTTGAACATGGGTTAGAGAAGAGATAAATTAATCACATAAATCTCTTTCACACAGGGAAAATTGGAAAGCATGAGGTTTATTTTGGAACAAGAGGAATACACTGTAATTGTTTATAAACATTTAATAAAAATTAAATAAACAAGAAGTTTCGGCTTCTAACAAATTTCAAAGTTCTGGTTTTAGTTTAGAAACTGAAAACAATAACAATATGCCAAACACTTTTTCTTCTTTGTTTCCCTAAAAATGAGAACATATCATATTACCAAGACACCTAGAAGTTGTACCCCCTCTGTTATGTTATTAATTAGGAAAATAGGAAATATCCCAAAATACAAGTAAAAACAAGGTGATTTCGCTAAACAGGGGTACTATATTTTCCACATCTAAATAGGAGTAAAATACCATCATCCAGAAATAGGAGTAAAATACGCCATCCTGAAATAATAGTGCCATATTATGGCACTATTTGTCATCAGTTCGACCAATATTAATGTCAAAATACGGTAGTATGATTTCAAAATGGGAGTACCTACTCCTATTCAAGAAAAAAATACAGCACCTCTATTTAGGAAAATCACCTTGTTTCTACTCTTAATAGGAAATCACCTTATTTTACTCTTATTTAGGGAGATTTATCTATTGATGCTACCTACCTTCACTTGAATTTGCCAACTTATCTTTTTTTATTGCCTAAAATACTGTGTCACTTTCCTTTAAAGTAACTAATTGGTTGTTAATACTACCTCAATTTTTTATAATTGCAACATGTTGAATTTAGCACTATTCACATGCTCTACTTTGACTACATTTTTATTTATTAATGTATTATACATTGAATTTTTGATAAATATTGTAAAATTCCTATCATTTAAAATTTTCAAAATCTGAATTCTTTAATTTCTTACTATTAAGGAACAAAATGGAAACATTGCAACTAAAAAAGAACAGAGGAAGTATTGTTTTCTTATATCACGTACGGTCAAATTTGTTAAACTCCCAGTGGCTGGACGGAGGGCGTGGTTCTTTTGTAGGTTTTTCGGAGATACAAATGTATAAATTCTGTAGGTAGTAGTAATTTATGTAGAGAAGATGACAAAGTAATGATATCTAGGGATGGCAACGGGGCGGTTCGGGGACGGTTTTACATATAACCGTACCCGCCCCATTTGATAATTCCCCGCCCCATAACCGCCCCATTACCCAACGGGTAATTTTTATCCAAACCATATCCGCCCCAACGGGTAACGGGTATAACCGCGGGTACCCGCGGGTAATCACTTTATTATATGAGTCATTGATATTTTAATATAAAAATAATATTTTGTATTTTAAAGGGCGGAAAATGACATAACCCATATGAGTTTAGACTCGGACACCACTTTTTAGTTTCGTATATCTACAAAACGAGAAAGAAGACAACATAAATTAATTTGAACCTAAAAATACTTAATCTGAAAAATAATTAATCACTAAAAAATCTGATAATAATTAAACAAGACTATTAAGAGCTATTATGAACTCTCATTGAAACATTATAGTTAGTACATCTATTATCCATATATACAATGAAAATAGAAAAATCTCATCTTCTTTTACTTGTGGGACAAATAATAGATAAAAATGTAATAAAAATATAACTAAAAATAAACGGGGCGGGTAATGGAGCGGACATGTGTAAAACCGTAACCGCCCCGTTACCCATAAAAACAAAACGGGTATTCCCCGCCCCGTACCCATTACCCAGTCAATGCGGTTTTCCCCATTTTGACCGGGGCGGTTCGGTGCGGGTATCCATTGGATCGGTCACAATTGCCATCTCTAAATTGATATCCATGTAAGGTAAGAATAACAGTAGTAGTAAAACTTGCCAAATTACCAAATGGAACAAATAAAAAAAATCACAAAAAGGTGAAAGGAACAATTAAATAAAGGGTATTTCCTTAAATACGACTGATTGAAACTCATTTCCTAAAAAGTGACTACTTTCACATATGGACAAAAATGCAACCAAGTGATTAACAAGGTAATAAATTTGAATATACATGATGCCACCGTCATATTTTTATGTTCGTACTAGATTTTCATGTCATTAATGAATGTCAATGCTATTGTGAAACATATCACTATGACTGGAATTTTCTGAAGGACTTTCTGGCAAAATTTAAAGCAAAAACTGAAAAAACAATAAAAATCACCCAAGTTGTCCAGCGACTTTTTGGCGGCAGTATCCGGTGGCGGCTGGGCAGGTGTGGGTTGGGCCAATGAATGGATATAAATTTCAATAACAAAATTTGGATTAATTAAACATAAGGTTTGTCATATATCTCGAAAAAAAGAAACCTAGCCACTTTTTTTTGTTGCATTTCACAAGCTATAGGTAATATTTGTGTCCCTTTTCTTTAAATTAATAAGGAGTAGTATTTTACTAGCTAAATCAGATTTTTATTTTCCATTTTCTTGTGGATTCACTTTTATTCATGCAGTGAAACACAGAAGATTGAAACGAAAGAATCCAGCAAATCAGAAATCAATCCTGTGGTGGGCTTAATGAAGTCCTTCTATACTGCTTTTGTAAAATTCTGGACTTAAGAATGATGATACATGAATGTATCTACTCCAAATTTTGGCTGGATGAGCTTGTATTCCTGACTTCCCAGTAAAATCTTTGTTAGATTATTATGGCTTTCCAGAGGTAGCAATGTATGTGAATATACATCTCAATGTTTGTGTATAAAACGAGTCGAGGCGAGTCTGGTTGGGTCATGTGGTCAGACGAGTCTCGACCGCCTTCATATGCTCGGTGTGGCGTATTTCAACGGACGGTGGAGAGATGGTCGGGATCTGATCCAAAGGTGCCCAGAAGAGGATCTTTTGATTCCTTACTTGTTTCCATCTAATTGTGATTTATTAGATTCCACAGGATTAGAGACTAGGAGATGAAGAAAGAACATAGGATTCTATTCTATGCTCCCAGAATCTGCATTGTCCTGGAGACAAAGAACACATGGATCCCAAAATGGAATGCCATCTCTTCTGGTTATCGCTTTCCCTTCTCTGACCATTATTAATGCCCCTTGCCCATCTTCACCATTTCAAGGCAGACAGCCGTATCTTTCTTATTTACTGTCTTGCGGCTATTTTATATATAAAAATATATATGAATTTTCTACCCTACATTCAGATCAGAAGATTCAACTGCATCTGTTTTTTTGTAGCTTGTGAAGAGTACACTTGTAATAACTCCCTAAAACTGTACGATTATTATTGTTTTTTAGTATTCAACTCTCTGAACAACTTCACAAAACATTTTGCCGCATTATTTTATTGGGGCGCCAGTGCCTAGGCGGCTAGGTGGGCGCCTAGGCGGGGACTAGTCGAAGACAAAGAAAATACGTTTTTATCTATATTTTTGCATAAATATGATAAGTAATATTGTATTTTTGTGTGTATAAAATACATATATACATATACATTAACAAACATGAATGATAGAATTATCACATTTAATCATACGTGGTACGGAGTATATAATAACTAATCACTTGACTCCATTATGTTATAAATATGAATAATGATGAAATTTAGGTATATATAGAAACATATATAGTTTTATCTTAATTTATAACTTCATTTCTTTATATCTGTGACTAATGCTAAAATACGTATATCGCTTAGAAAATTGAAATTAAAAAGTAATTAAAGTAATGTTTGGCGAATCAAGACAGTCTACACGGCTGATTAGGCGCTCTAAGCGGGCAACTAGGTGCCATAGGCGGCCAACTAATTCATCTAGACGGCAAACCAATTAGTCGGAGCGTCTAGAAAAAAATCGGGGCGCCTCACCACCGCCTAGCGCCTAGGCGGGGACTAGTCGGACGCCTAGAACGATTTTTAGAACAGAGGGTACCACGAAAGCAAGAATTTTCTCAAAATAAAATTAAGGTTTAGTTGCCGATATTTTTTGTTTTCAACTCTATTAATCATTTTTTATCAGATACGGAGTACTATTTTTTTTTTAAATATGTGCGTTGATAGATTGGGTACTTATGGCTGAAACTACTAAGATTTTTTCTTAGTAAAATATAGTTATTTTTTTAATAACTAAATATTCAATTGGTTCATAACCGTGTAGACTGTCTTTATTTTGTTAATAAAATATATTTTAAATAATTTTGTATAGATTAAGAAAATTGAGTCCATTCATTCATAACTAAAGCTAGTTTAGCATATTCAATTGGTTCATCTATTTAAGCCTACCAGACAGGTCTTATAATTTATTGCATCGATCTAGCTGGATGTTGAAGTTATTTATCATCTGATTGTACGTGTATACAACAATAATCATAACCAAATTAAGTTTTATTTGAAGAAGTTTGATGAAAATGTATGCCAATTGACAAGATTTCATCAATTAATGATAACAACCATTATCACAATTCATTTATCCAATTGAAAGGAACAAAAAAGTTTTTGTACACACTTTATTGGACATGTTTAGCATTCAACGGTTAGTGGATAGCGAGTTATGTTAGTGGGTTGTCAATAACGGATTCTAGGGCTGGGACTTTGGAACCAAGAACCGGAGAACCGAACCGGACCGAACCGTTATGACCCGGTTCGGTTCGGTTCCAACATTTATTAGTTATTTGTTAACGGTTCGGTTCCTATTTTTTTATTGACGGTTCGGTTCTCGGTTCCTGAAAAAAATATGTACTAGGAACCGTTAAGGAACCGTTATATATAATAATTAAAATTATATATATTTCTTACGAGTATATATATTTTATGTATATTTACTTATTTATTTTTATATTCCATTCATTATTTTAGTTTAGTTATTCAACTATTTAAAACTATTATTCACTTCAACTGGTTCTCTTAGGCTTCTTAGGCCTCTCATTACTCATTAGGTCCAAACTCGAGCGGGTCGGAACTCGGAAGGTCCAAACTATTTAAAATTATTATTCTCTTTAACTGGTTTAACATATTTGTTTTGTAATTTCAAACGTTGAATGTCTTTTTGAAAAAAAATTAGTCGTGATTTGTAAGAATTTTTTCAAAGACTAGGAACCGTTAAATGACAAGAACCGAACCGTTAAGAACGGTTCGGTTCCTTATCGGTTCTATAAAATAATTTATAAGAACCGAACCGTTAGTAAAATTTCATATTTTCAAACGATTCCACATATTTTGCCTAGGAACCGAACCGGTCCCAGGCCTAACTCGGATTCAGTCAGTAGATTTGACTAGCGGAATAAATTGGCTTTTGTTAGAAGATGTTTGGTAATTTAGTTGTTTGGTCATAAAATTAGTACAAAACATTTTTCAAAATGCCAACCTAAAACTCTCCTATTAGTAGTGTTTTCATTTCAGCGATTTTATTGAAAAATGCTATTGCTAAACCGCTATTTACCAAATAACCCTTTCACTTATTGAAAACGCTGGAAGTGGTCAAATCGTCATTTTTCAGTTGAAACGCCATTTACCAAACACTCCCATTGTCTGTGTTTTTGTTTACTGTGACAGACAAAAGAAAGCTTTCACAGACAGTTTGTGTAAGTGTGTAAACAATAAAGTGTGTACAATAAGAATTGTTGCAAAAAGAAAACGTCTGCTTGGTTATAGACTTATAGTTATCCAAAACAGGCTTTTATTGTAACACATGGAGCTGGTTTACTTTTTATTGTTATTTTTCATGAAGGCTAAAAATGGCACAGCCTCCATAGGAATTGAACAAATAATCTATCGTGGGGCGCTTATATTTTCCCTTCAAAATATAACAAGGGTCTATGATCAGCGCACAAACTAATTTTATCGGACAAAGATACCGTTGGTTTTAAGAATGCAATAGGGCTACCTAATTTTTTGCAATTAGTTGATTGGGGTTGTAAATTTGATAAGCATCACCAATGGCAACATGGACAAAGATGCTGAGAATTATTTTCTGAATGGGAAAGATAAATGCATTCATTACGCATTTTCAATTCACGACCCAGTTGGTAACTCTTTTTTGAGCTTATGAGACTTGACCGTCAATATTTTTGTGAAACACGTACATTTTCGTTTTGTGTACTGAATTATGTGCGGAGTAATAATCAAATAAGTAAAATTGAAGTTACTTTTATGCTCAATTGGTAACTTTTTCTTTAAATACAATTTTTCTATGATCAAAAGATTGGGTCAATTCACGCGCTTCAACCAAAATTTCATCAATTTCAGCAGATTTTATCAATTCACCAAATTTCAGTGTTACTTCTCAGTTGGACTGATTTTAGTCCAAAGCAGACCCAAATAAATCAAATCTGATCAGATAAATCACCTTCTTAGAGAGTTAGTGGGTAACATTCAATATTTTAATACTATCGTATGCAATAGAGAAACAGAGTGAATGCAAAATTGTAGTCCCTCCATCCCATAAAATAGATCTTACTGTTGGGTGGGTTGTCTAAAAAAATAATATTCATTTCTCTTTTTGAAAAATTTTGTGTGGTGATCATTCATTTATCTTTTTCTTACTCAATCACCACCATACTTTATTCTCACTTAAACTCCGATCCAAATTGGAGTGGGAACTACTCGTATATTATGGGACAGATGTAGTACTTCAATTTTTTAATTTAAGATAATGAGCATGGGCGGAGCTAGGGGTGGGCCAACCTAAGCCATGGCTCACCCCAAATTTTAAAAATACCTTAATTTTTAGTGTAAAAAATCCCGTTGTAATTTTTTTTTTCAAAAATATTATTTATACTTGTCCAGTGTGGCCCAATGCTTTGGCTCCGCCCCATAATGAGTGTTGTTATGTTCGCGTTATCAGGTGGAGAACAAAATAGTTGTCATACTATGAAAGATGTGAAGGTACGTTGTTGGTAGATTCCTCAAGTCGTTCCTTTTTTTGATCAGGAATGTGATTTAACACTCCAGGTTGTGTAGGGAAAAAGTGTGAAGAATATTGAAAAGAGATAAAAAGGCTAGCCAGCCACCAAGGCTTGTTGATCAAAACTTGACAGTTAACACACAAGGAATAAAGTCGCATGCAGATCATATACTCCATCCGTTAAGTAGGCAATAGGCATAATAGCTATCTACTAGCTACGTACCTGTCAGTCTTGGCGCTGAATATTATGTTCCATATTGTATTCCGTGTTTCTTTATCAACTCGCGGGCAATTCTTTAAGGAATCCAATAAGATTGTTGTGTGAATTCGACTTGGAATTGGAATTTGTACATACTACACATTTAACACATTTTTTTATATGCAGATTAAAGGGGAAGCTTATACTATGCGACTGGTTGTACGGTGCCAGCCGTACAACTGATGACATTTTTGTAATTTTGGTGAAAAACACGACTTCTTTTGAATGAGCATTAATGCAATTTTGTTGAGTATCAAGACTGTTCTTTTGAGTATTAGGAGCCTAAAAATGAGCATTGGCGTTCTCTGTTTCACATATTCTAATTCGCTTTCTTTGTATTACTTTTTCGTTTATAAAAACTCTTAAATTATGTCTGTAATCAATTCCAATTAATTTCAATTTGTAAATTTAATATAGTATGATACGTTTGAAATGTGCAACATTTTAAAATGAGCATAAAGAGGTACCAAATAAGCATGCATAACTGAAAAAATGAGTATCAAAAAATTCAAAAGTTTATTTGTGTATATATGCTCATTCATTTGGCCTTTATACTCATTTGAGTTTAACATAATGTAGTATGATACATTTGAAATGTGCAAAATTTTAAAATGAGCATAAAGAGGTACCAAATGAGCATACATAACTTACAAAATGAGTATCAAAAAATTCAAAAGCTCATTTGTATATGCTCATTCATTTTCGGTTTTATACTTATTTGAGTTTAACATAAAATTCATTTTTAATATGCTCATTCATTTTCTGTTTTATACTCATTTGAGTTTAACGTAATACTCATTTTTAAAACGCTCAATATTCTAGATTCGTCAGCATCTGTCGTCCCCGTATTCTTCTTCTCGCAACAGTGGCCAACAAAGAAATCCCCAAGAGCCGACGCCTCTTGCGCAGCAGGAGAGCTTGTGGAGAAGAGAGCGGCGAGAGAAGCCATCTGCCTGGTGCGCGAGATCGGATCGAAGAAATCAAGCGAGATTGAAGAAGCAGGGGTGAAGTCCAGTGCGAGAAGCGCAGAAGCAGGGGCGAAGATCGGGAAGCCGTTGCTAGGACGAGAACCGCAGAAACGTAAAAAAGGTCGGCTCTAGGATGTAATTTACGGGTTAAAGTAGTTTAACCAAAATTGGCTGACGTGGACCGTGGAGCGGCGGAGTTGGACACAACTCCGAAATAGGGACGTTTAATTGCTTGAATCAATTATTGTATCAAT